AATTGACCTATCCAATATTTTTATTATTTCATCACTAACAAACAACTAGCGTTTTCGGGAAGCTAGCTTCATAGTTTAATAGTACTTAAAATTCTCTACAAATTCATATACGAATATATTGCGCTGCATCCTTCTGTTAAAAACAATTCTTGCACGGTGAAAATATTTTTCTCCTCAAATTGTTATCTATAGAATTTTTGTTTTCTTTTTTTCCCGATTTCTTATCCATAATTGAATAGAAAACAGAAATTATTCCAAAATCAAATGCATAGCGTAATAGAGCGTGAGATTCTCTATCATTGTACACACCAAAAACGGAATTGTGATATATGAGAAAGGTAGAAGTTGAAATTTGTAAAAATATCAAAAGCTGCAAGAAATAACTAAATATTTTTATCAATGATTAGTTTTTTGAAATTGAGAAAATGCTGCTGTTTCGAGAGACGTTCATCCTGTTCAACATGACCTAATCATATGAGCAATTTATTTGTACGGTTACTGTCACGACTCTTGTCGATTTCGATTTCATTGAAATCGGCTGCAGAAAAGAGTTCGATTCTTAACCTGTTGATTTTTGAAATCCTATTACTGAATACATTTTCATGCGATGCATTGTACAAAAACGATCACCGTCGGAAATTTATTTATGTTGCTGGATCGGATAAAATTGTGCAGCACGATTGTATGCTGATAGCTTTGTTTTTCTCTCCTTAACTATGTGGAAAGACTCATTGTGATCTATATGTGAGCAATGATCACTATCTCTCCGTCCTATACCAGATGCGTATGTACGGAAGCATCCAACAAAATTCATAGATAGTGAAAATAAACGATAATAAACTTGAATTTTGCTATGTCTTTCGAAGGAAAATGAAGACGCGGAAATCTTATATATTTTGAGAAAGACTTTTTCAATATCAATAAAACGTGTTAATCGATGAAGAATTAAACTGCATTCAGAAATGTCATATGATCCTTAGTTTTATCTGTGAATAACACCAACTTGTATGAAATACGGCACGATACTATTCTTTAAATCAACTAAATATATAACGTCCGGAAACAAATCGGCAAAGCCAGAAGAAATATAACGCGAAGGGTTCGGCTGATGATAAGATTTTTACCTAATTTGAGACATATGAGAACTACAAGAAGCTATTTCATCATATAGGCAATATTCACTGAAAGCATACATTAGGTGCTCGTCAACAAACATAATTATGTAGATTCAAAGAAACAGTTACCAACAGAATCTCTAGAATAAAACAGACTTCATCGTGAAAAGAAAATCAGATGCTAATCGAGAGGTTTTCCCATGAAGTAAATGATGCAAAGTTAGAATTATAAAACCTGCATGTTCAATTATCCTAGCTAAAATAGTTGGCGTATCAAAAAAATTTGAGAACAAATAGCCTATTAATCTTAAAGCAACGGTTTATTCAGCATCGATCAAACGTAAAACATATATTATCGCATGGCCGCTTCAACGGATAGATCAAAACACAACGTACGTTAACTGAGCACAATATTCGAGTAATTCCAGTCTCGATTTGCTTTCTAATATGTGTTGGGTCTACAAGGTTGTGTTCGATAGAGAATTTCTTCCGCTAGCGAGTCGGAATAAATTCGAGGAAGGGTAGGTCATTCGGCAGACAATAGGGTTTATTCGAGAACTACTCACTTTTTCCCATTGAATTCATAATACATAAAATCTATTTCTGTACAAATTCGCTTTGAGACCTGTATTGGATCTGAAACTCTCCTTATTCGATGTATAATTTCATTTTTACTGTATAGTATCATTTTAGATGAGGTAATCAGCCAAAAAATAATGAGCTGGGTGGATAGATGGGTGTAGGTGTATATATATATCTGAGTGTGACCGTGTGTGAGAATGTTTCATATTTGGAATGACAAAGCAATACCACCAAATTTTGAAATAAGTCGGAAAGTATTGCAGATAATCTATTGTAACCGCGTATCTCATCAAATTCACACCCATATATATCCACACCCAGGTGCTCACCCAGCTCATAATTTTTGTCCGATGATACCGTCTAAAATGATACCGTGCGGTTGAAAATAAAAGTCTACATTGAATAAAATAGGTTTCAGATCCAATACAGTTTTCACAGCGAATTTGGGCTGATAATAGTTTTTAATGCATTATGAGTTCAATGGGGAAAAGTGAGTATTCCTTGAATTTATTCCCATTTGCTATAGGTAGAAATTCTCTATTGAATCAAACCTGATATAGAACCAACATAGGTCAAAGAGCGAATTGGGACTGGAGATACTCGAATATCGTGCTATTTTTTACTGGCCTTCAACACAAAAAGAAACATTAAGCCTTTTTTTATATAAACAATAGCCATTTCAAGACAAATGTTTCTCAATACTGCGCGCGACGGTTATATAGGAGTTTTTTTACCACGCTTCTCGTGTATCTATTTCAGACTGTCATACTCCATCCATCGCTTATGTAATAACATATTGCGAAGAAACCGATATGTTTTGAGAGGAAACTGATATGTTTTACTTCAGAGAATGATTACGCGGTTAAAAATATTCAGCAGTTGGCATATTCTATCATATTGATCACGTTTTTCAGAAAACTCTGTATATGCCTGTTGCGCCCCTCTACCAAATCATTAGCCTTCCCTAAGTGAACTTTTGTTTTCTTGCTTTTGGTCTGTGGAGACCTTAAGATCTGTCCATAGCACATGATTTTCTTCCTCCACAACTTCAAGAAACTGATGCGCATGAGCAAGGAGGTTCGACTAGAGTCAATTGATATTTTTAATTTGATGCTATTCAATTTCTAGTGTGTACCCTGATAGAGAATTTCACGCTCTATTACGCTTTGTATTTGATTTTGAAATAATTTGTGTTTTCTATTCAAATATGGATGAGAAATTGAAAAAAAAGAATACAAAATCTCTATTTAGCAGAATTCGAGAAGAAAAGCATCTTTATTGTGCAAGAAGTTTTCTTAACAAAAAGATGTAACACCAGATGTTCGTATATGAATTTGTAGAGAATTTTAAGTGCTATCAAATTATGTTGTTAGTTTCCAGAAAACGCTAGTTACTACTAATGAAAGAATACAAATGTTGGACATGTCAATTGTTTTACAGGTGGGAATTTTGATGAAAAAGTTGAAACTTTTTCTAAGCTAAAATTTAATCTGCCAATCTTCTGAGAACATCATGCGATGCATTTTGATGTGCCCTTTCAAACGAGAGTACTTTCAATGGATATGATCTCACTGATCCGACTAAGTTGCCCAAAGTGCGTGGGCATGGTTTTTGAAAATTAAATATGGTGCGAATCAAAACTTATTCTTGGATATAGTACTTTTAAAAGTCACAAAAGATAGCCCGTAGTCGATAGTATCTTTGGTGAAAAACTCTCAGCGATAACTATTATAACTTGGGAGAAAATTAAAATATACTGAAAAGTACTGCACTAAAAATACTTCTAATTTTGATTGAGTACCTGTACTTTCAAGTGGTTTATCTCGAGATTGATAACATCTTTTTACTATTTAGATTGCATAAAGAAACTGTCTAAAAATTTTCCGCATAGATTTAATGAAAGTTTTGAAAATTATGTTTATGGCAAGGAATTAATAATAATTAGAATGAGTCAGATACTATGAAGAAATTCCAAGCAAATATACATCGTTAATAAAGGACATTTATACATGTATCTGGTAAAAATCATTGAACTATTTCAGAATTGGTTGAACACTTTAATAATAAATAGCTACATTTCAAAATCGATCATTGAGTGAAGTTTGAGACAATCAAAATCAAACTTACCATTCGAAACTTTCATTCAGATTGGCTTGAATCCAATGGAGCACTTAAAATTGTTCTCTCGATATGTTTCTTTTCTTGTGTAATCAAAATTTTGATCAACATCCTGGAGTCTAAATACATTTGTATAATCGAAAATCAGTGTCTAGTAGATTACAGTTTGTCTTGTATTCGAAATCCTATGGCTCACTAGTGTCTCAATATCGAAATAGAACAAACAAAAAGTCAATATATTTCAAATTTTCATTTGTTTCAACTCTAATAAGTTCTATCTTTGATGGTTTTGGTCATTAGTAATTAAAGGGAAATGACTCAGCTTACATACTCATTCTTTTGTTAAATTTCTTCGATGAATGATGCTTTGTTTTTGTCATCTGTTCTATAATATAATATGATTAATATGATGATTCGCTTAATAATATAGTGGAATGAACTATATATTTAAGTTTTACCGCGAAATAATTGCTGCCAGTAATCGTAATAGTGATCTTGATAAATCTTCAACTTCTGGTTGCGCATGTTTCTACTTACGGCGCATGTGATGTTATGCAAACAGAATATAGTATTGATTTAAAAAAAAAAATTTTTGTTTATACACGAAATGGCTTGAGAAAAAGAAGTTTTTGTTCGCAGTTCTCTTAGATGCAATAAAACCAATTTATTTCTTTGTCAATATTTACGTTATTTTTTACTCAGAATTTTACATCGTTAGTGGCTTATTTTCAATTTTATTCTATCGATAAAACTATACTATCGAATCTTCCTTGGTTTCAACTTCAGCTTCTGTACCTATTTCTCAAAAATCATAATAGTTTCTTACGATAATTAAAGAACATCTAAAACAGAGTTGCTAGTGTTTCTTGAAAAGTTGTATATGAGTCTCTTTTTCAGATACTCAAAGGATTAGGAGAGAACTTTCTTATTGCAAAGAAAAATTCTAGAAAGCTCATTCATGGACTTATGTATTTAAAACGAATCAGGTTCCATTCATCTTTATACTATGAAATGGAAACAAGGAGATCAAAATCTTTATTCTCTAACAAATTGAAGGTCTGCAACATCTAAACTGTAAATGCTGAGATTCTTGTTTAAATATCTCAAACCATTTCGTACTTCTTCCTTTAAACTTCCATGAGTATATCGTACATTCTCACAGTTATTTTATGATTCTTTTTCAGCATGTCAAAATTGAACTCAATAGTCTTCGAAAATGCAAAACAAATTCAATATATTGCTTTATTTCAGTTGCATGTCAATTATGGCATGGTCTTCAAAAAAAATTTAACTGAATCGTATCCTAAAGGTTAAGTTCAAATACTGATAGTGACCAATTAGCTTTTTTTTTAAAGTTCTTTAAAAGTTCTGCAACAAGTTACATTCATGTATGCATTCAAGTATTTGTAATTATTTTTTTTTGTATCGAAGATACATCAATAGGAAATATGTATTAGTTATGATTCATAAGTTAGCAAAGAAACTGAAATTCTTTCGTTACCTGATGTAAGTCTTAAAGTAGGCAATTTAAATCATCATAACGATGGATTTCATCTTGTTCATTTTCGCCAAATTAAATTATTTTATCATTAACTTTTTGTACTACATTTTGATGATGAACTGATCCAACTTAATTTTTCACATCCATCGCAAGTTTCAATTCCATCATATTCTAATCTTACGTTAGCCAAACATTGAAAACAAAATGAAACTATATGATATTCAAATTTTACTCTAGTACGAAATGCGGTGCAAAGCGTACGAGCTGAATTTTTCGAAAAAATCGAGAATCAGATACAACATGAATGATAGAGTTGACGATTAGTTAAAGTCGTTCTAGCAGTCAAACTTTCTATTGTTCTTCTTTTCGTCGTTTCTTTCGTGTCTACTAATTCTGAAACATAATTTCAAACTAGATGGTATTCAAGTTTCACTCGAATACGAATGCGATGCGAAGCTCGAATCGAATCTTCACGAAAAATCTTCAATTCAGAGAAATCTTGAATACTTTTTATGTCGACATGATGAAATTCATCACTGAGAAAACTCAATTCTTACTAAGCGATACATTCTTAAGGGTCGATTTCGATTGATCGATTAATTATTTCCATGATTCATTATCTTAGATCAGCTGTAAACGAATAGACTATAGTGGCTAACATATGTTCATGAGGTCACTTTAATTATCTCGCAACAGATTTCTTTCATTTTCGTCATTTTCGAACCACATTTGTCAGTGAACAGAATATTAGATTAAAGAATAGAAAAAAGATGTCAGAAGTTCGATCTCGATACTTTCATTTACCGTTTCAATGAGTTTTCTATGATTTTCGGCACTCGAGATCATCGGGTCACAAAATGATAAAAAAGATGCGTACGTCGAGAAAGCAAAAGCAAAAGAAAGCACGCGACTGACTACATAAATGCTATGCTTCGCATCGCATTAATAATTGTAAAGAAGCCTAGTTAAATTTATCACTACGAATATTCTATGCAAGTTTATCGACATCATCATAGTGAACGAGTTTGATGAAACCTTTAATTGCTTTCATGATTCATCATATTAGATCAGCTGTAAACGAATAGACTATTGGCTGCCATCTGTTGATGACGTCATTTTAATTATAAGTTGCTTGTCTATAATGTAACTAGACGTTCGAATGAGTTTTTAAACGAATGAGATTTGAATAGCGCTATTTTAATTTTAATACTTTAATCTTGCGTTGAAATGACTCGCTTCTAATTTATCGTTTTCGAGATTATCGTGTCGTAAAATGACGAAATATTCTGCGTACATCTAGTCAAAATGCCATTTGCTTTCTTTAGGATCTACCGAAATAAACTACGTTGACGATATGGATAATTATATTGTTGTTCAAATTACATATGCTTCTAGCCAACATAATCAATCAATAACAGGTTGATCATTCAAAAAAAAACTATTATTGACACGAATAACAAACACATCGATCTATTAATTTTCAGATCATTTTATGCTTGAAAATCGTGTGCCTGTTCGTAATACGAACATAGAATCTTTTGCAACACCTCCAACAGATGGAATAATGTCTCGTGCTTGTGACTGACAATATGACTACATGGGTAACAGGCACATATACGATCACAATGATTGCTTGGTGATAACAATGACAGAAAAACAAGCAACTTTTTATCAGAAAAGTTGACTAATAAAAATATCTGAACCATACCGTTTATCTTTAAACCGATAACTTTTAGAATAGAAACTCAACTAGTAATAATAATAATAATTATGTCATCGAAAAAAGTATCAAGCGATAAACAGATGACGACATGTAAACTTCTTGATAAATTTTTATATTGTGCTGAGAAAGAAAATAAAAATAAGAAGCGATTTTCGTGTAATAAATTTCTCATCGACTCATGCTCAATAAAATTTATCGTTTATGCTTAATAAAATAGGATAAAAAAAAACAGAAATTTCTCGTAATGTACTTTCTCTTTCGTACTAACGAGTTTCAGATAAAAAGAAAAAGAAAAAAGGAAAGATAAGATTTATTTGTTCCATTCAATCTATTGAAATGTGAAGAATTAGACGATGTTTAGTCTATTATATCTTTATTGGTCTGTAATTTACATCATTCTGCTGAAATAAATTTAATAGTATTTAATAAGGCATCATATATGCTTATCTGATGTAGATCAAGTGATTTGTCTTAATAAACAAATATAATAAAACTATTTCTTTTCATTTTCTTACACATAAATAGTCTTTGTTGTTTGAAGAGACTTGTAAATTTTATGATATAATTCTCTTGCTATCAACTCAGCTATATTCATATGTAACAGGAAAAGTAAATAGATCACCTGTGTTGGTAATAGTTGTTATCTTCATGAATTATCATTTTTTTTTCTTTCTTTTTCTTTCTTCATTTTAAGAGCATACCTACATTGCACGACGTTTCTTTTTTCTCTCCGAAAGAATCAAATATTTCTCATACATGAAACAAACATTCCGTTCGTTTTCATCCTGAAAACCAACAGTCACATACACATACACTTTTTCATTTTGTGTATATCTATAAGAAAAAAAAAGGCGAAGGCTAAACGGCGAGAAAGAAGAGGCTGACTGTCATCGCAATCATACACAGAGAGAGAGAGAGACAAATAGAGAGAGAGAGAGAGAGTAAGACGAGAGAGGCTGTTGTGCACTTAAGATAAGACTCTCTTTTGCTTTGTATGCGTGTGGTGAAGAATAAATATATCATGAGAAAGACAGAGAGAAGGGTGATAAACGAAAATGCGACGACGAACAACAGATGAAGTTTTGCGAAATAGTAAGTGTAAAAGATGAAAACGCTTGTTGTTAAATTGAATTTGTGGCCAGTTCTTGTGATAGTCCTCAAATCGAAATTGAATGAATTTTTGAGATTATCACGAAAGCTGGTCGCACAAGTGTTTGTTCAATGTTGTTTCATCCCTACAAAAAAAGAAAAAAGGCCAATATTTAATAATATAAGAAATAAATAAGAATCATTAAGTGACCAGACGCAAACAAAAAGAAACCGAAAACATTGTGTCTCATTTCATTCGTGATATTCGTGAGCGTTAGTGTTTTGTTTTTACCATGTTCTGTTTCTCTTATAGATTCTTTTTAAAGATTAGTTATAACTATTTTTATGTGTAGCAAACTCAAACCTTGGCGTGATTTTGCATGTGGAGTTCCGACCGTGTCTCTTCCACCGGTTGATGTTTCATCTTGATTTTCTTTGCTTTTGAAAATTGGCTCGCGGCGATTTTTTAATAATGTTTGAATTTTTTCGTGTGCTTCACATTCATTAAGATTAAAGTCATTTCTCTAGAAGAAGAAAACAATAGCAAAACAAAACAAACCATGTTTTTATATATAAATTTTCATTGAATCGATTTAATTCACTTGTAGTTCAAGTCGAAAAAGACCTTGACTAGGAACAGCAGATGCTGAGGATGATGATAGATTTCGTGTTGAAATATTTAATTTTATAAACATTTCTTGATATTGAATGGCTTTAAGAATATATTGTACACCTGTGTCAGTTATTTGATTCTCTGTTGAATTATGAAAAATAAAGAAGTTGTTTTTATTTTACGAAAAAAAACTAAAATAATCAAATTTTTTTTACTTGACAAATTTAAACTAAGTAAACATCTATTTCCTGGTAAAACCAGATCATCATGTAATAACTCAGCATTATGATCAAGTAATGGCATTCCATCATTAATAATAAACTAAAATAAAAACGAATGATTGCATTTGTGTCTGCTAATCGAGTTATGTGAACGTATGAATATCATTTTTGTATAGAATATATAACATCAGTGAACATATTTAAAAGACAAACCTTATCATCATTCTAATGAAAAATTCATATAAAAATTTTAAATGAAAATCAGCAAATGAAGTTAACAAATAACTTACATCAGTGTCGCTATGTGCTGCTGAACGATTTCCAACATCTCGACCAGAACTTTTTTGATTGCCAAGTGTTTTTCCAAGTTTGTCTGAACTTTGTTTACCAGCACCAGCTTTAGTAGGTTTGGTTTCAGCGATTGTAGCAGCTTTTTTAGCTGTTTTATCATCTTTTTTCGGTGCTTTAGGAGTTTCTTTTGTATCAGCCTATAAGAAAATCAATATAAAACGATGAACGAAATAATTCAATGAAACAAACTTTTCCTGTAGCAGCACCACCACCGGGAACTTTTCCTTTCGATGGTGCAGTTGTCGAAGTAACACCAGATCGTTTTCTTCCAGGAACTGTTGGGCTTGAAGTCGATGAAGCACGTCGATCATTGAGATGACGTCTAGCTGATGGAAGACTCACGGCACTTTCAGATATCGATGAATGAAGTAATAGTTTTCTACGATAAATTAATTCATCTTCTGTTAAAGGAAATTTACTTAAAACTTCAGCAAGTTTTTGTACACCTTGATCACTAATATCATTTGAACTTAAATTTAATACAAGTAAACTACGATTGAATTTTAAACTTCGTGCAATATGTTCAGCACCACTATCACCTAATGAATTATAAGCTAAATTAAGTGTTTGTAATTTTTTATTTTGGCGACGTTCATTTCCTAAACCTTGACCTATTAAAGAAGCACCACGTTCTGTTATTTGACAATGTCGAAGAGATAAACTAATAACTGGTGAGTTTTCATCGGTTAAAAGAACTTCGTAATGTTCGAACGGTATTGGATTAGCATCAAGAATAAGTGTACGAATACTAGGACATTTCGGTAGAATAGAAGCTAATTGTTTAAGTGTATCGTCTGTTAAACCTGTATGCCAAAAATGAAGAGTATGCAAACGTTCAAGCGTAGGAAACGATTGAGTAAATATATCTAGTGTTGCACGATCAATTTTCCATGCACGAATAAGAATTTCTGTAAGAGTATCTTGTTTTTCTGGATTGTCCATTTCAATTTGAATTTTTGGTTTAAAATATTCAAGATTATCACGAAGTGAGTATGTTTTTGGTAGAGAATCCTCTATAGGAAAAGATTTGTTTTATTAAATTTGTTGTTCTTTTCTTTAAAATCTACTAACCATGCGAAATTTCTCCAATATCAACTTCACTTTGTTGCAGTTGCTGCTGTTGAGCATTAGCTTCACGCTCTTTATTTGTTGCATTTTTAGCTATTTTAGGTGCTGTTTTATCTTTTGTATCAGCTATAGACGATACTACCACTGGAGTTCCTGGTGGATGCGGTCGTGGTACAACAGGCACAATATATGTTATTTGAGCTTGTCTACATAGTGCATCGAAGTCTTCCAAAAATTTGCCTTTGCAATGGTATGGTTCAACTAGTTAATTAAAAATGAAAATAAAAAAGAAAAGAATCAACTACGTTTTCTATTATATAAACAATAAAATAAATTCAAAAGATTTTTTTCCTCTTTTATGAATAATTAACCAATACCTGTGTCTGTCTTTTTTACAGTGCTAGTTGGAGCAGTACTTGTTGTAGATTTGATACGAGCTCCTTTGGTTGTCATTTCATAATGAGTTTTGTAAAGAAAAGTAGACAAATAGTAGAGGAAACTTGAATGAAAGAAACTTGTTAAAGAAAACTTTTCAATGAAAATGTGTTATTAAGTTTCAAGCAAAATGATGGAGAGAAAGCAGAAGGGAAGAAAAAAAGTGCAAACAAAAAAGTTTATATGGACGACGAGAACAGTGACAATCTTCATGTCGTTAACGACGTCAATAACAAGGTGAGTGAGAAATGATTTTGTTTGTGTTAAATGATTCCAATCTTTTTTTTATTTCAAGTAGGTCAATAGTAGAGAATGGAAGGAAAAGAAAATATGAATCAATCAAAGAAACGACTTTCATTTTTGCACTTCTATTTCAATATGAACATTTAGTTACCTTTTTCATCGCTCAAATCATCATTAACAATAGATGATGATGAACGTTTCGAATAACTTCTACGAAGATGTTGAGCCCTGAATAAAGATGAATAACACATTTTACAAATTAAAATCTAAATCTTTAGCGAAAAAATAAAAGAATATTCCTTAAATTAGACGTGTATTCATTATGAAAATGTCAGAAAAAAAGACAAGAAACATCCATATATTTATGACGAAGAATTCATTTAAATAATATTCAACCAGAATCTGTTGACATGGTTTCTTTTCTTTTACTTTCTAATTAAACTACTCTTGCATTTTCATGACTATATTCTTCTATTCAGAAGAAATCACCTTTGAAATCACATTTATTAGTCATTATTTGAGTAAGATAATAAATAGAAGTATTACATTACAAACTCTGACCCAAAATTTCCTGTTACAAACCATTTTTATAGTATTCATTATATTTGAAGAAAAGAAAAAGCTACTTTTATTTAGACTTGCTCAAAAATTTCAAAGTTATCTTTTAACTCGACTTACTTTGGTGGCATTTCTTTTACGTATGCTAAATATCGTTGTAAAACAAAAATTATAAAAAAAAGAGAAATCTAAGTTCTATTGATTTATTTTCTTTTTCTCTTTACTCCGGTTAAAATTCAAAGTTTAACATTGAGACAAATATGATCAATTTTTAATATGCAATAAACGTTCGTTCGCACACTTCAACAACTTCACTTTTCTCTTTTTCTCTCTATGTTACAAGTGCATCTACGTTTGACACATTAGTCTGTATTCCAATGATCACCATCGCGTTCGCCTATGTTTAATAATGAGTCAAAATTGAATGCTTGAAAAAATTCCAGTCGATGAAAATCAGGTTTTTCATTATCAATTGTTGCTGGATACAATGCTTCATATGTACGTTTCTCATCTTGACCATGAATAGCATAAGCATTAAATCTATTAATATGAGCAGGAAATAAAGAACGAGGAATATGGGCTCGACCAATCCATCGATCAGATGTAGGACGTTCAACATTATAGTAAGGTAAAGGTACCATTTGTTTTAATTCTTTTCGGCGATCTAGTAATAGAAGGACCAAATAATGACCGTGTGGAGAAAACTCAAGTTCCAGATAATGATTGGTTGAGGATGCTAAGAAAAATAGTTCGACTACTTCATAATTCCATAATTCAGGATATGAACCAGGTGGTGACGATGGTGATGAAACAGGAGCAGGATCATTAAAAAATGGTGCATCAATTTCAATAATAAGATGATCTTTATCATTAGTAGAAGACAGGCTAATTTGAACTGATCGATGATTAGTAATAGGAACTGAATTCCATAAGTTTGTAATTGAAAATTTCATTGCCATTGTATCCGTTTGATGTCTAGTTAGTAGATAAAGAGTCAAGACAACAATACCAGCACAGATAAGAATACCAGTTAAATGTCGTCTTATCATTAACAATAAATAAATATACTGCACTATTTATTTACCAGATATTTTATTTATTTCTATAATTCAACAGAGAAAGATATTGAGTGTAGATTATATGAATCTAATGTCTGTACAAGTTAATGTAAAATCTGTGGAAAAATCAAAAAAATTCTAGAACAACAAACAACACTCATATTCATCAATAATTAAGTACTGCTAGTACATAACCATGCAAAAGATTTTATTTTAAGTAACATTCCTATTGCGAACCCTAACAGTGATGGTTGAATTTTTTTGTACAATTTACTTATGAAATTCATGTTAGAAATCGGATTCACCAACATAACATACGTATAAATCACTATAAAATAAAAACTAAAGAATTTTATTTTGTAATGAATTAACCAAGCAGAGAAGAAATTATTTGATGATTTTATGAACAGAGAAAATTTCAGATGAGACAATTTTGATATTAACATACGATCGTCTACCATTGATAATATCCATATTATTTTTGTGTTATTTTATGATTTCAGAATCATACCTTTAAAAATATGATTATTCTATTCAAATCAAAAACAAAAACAAAAACAAAAACATATTTATTTTAATTATTATGATTTATCAAAAAACTTCTAGTTTTTCCCGTGTAAATCTATTATTCTCTTCGACTAGGATACTTTTAAGTACAAATCTTTGAAGTATTAAATGATTGCAAGAAACAAACTGACTTTAAAAAGTTGCTAACTTTGCGTTCGTCAAGTCATTTGTCGTAGTTAGTCAAAGATATGTTTTGAATTTGTATCTTTGTTAAAGATTCTCATTTTTTCCTATATGAAACGAAACATAGTATTGATAGATTTCGAATTATTGTCAAACAGAGACTATTGGTATTGGCATTGGCATCAATATGTTTTGCTTTTCAACGATTACTAGCTAATCCATTGAACAACGCTGATATAATGTATTGAATTTTTTTTTTTTATAAGTTTCGTCTTCCTTTTCTGAAACTTTTAATGCAGTTTATCTCAATCTAAAACACAACAAAAATTGTATTTATCATCATTTTATTTTAGTTCTATTTGAAATTCTGACGATTATATTCACACGATAAACTATGGACTTCTGCATTTGTCCAATCAATGGACGAGTTGCAGTTCGTATTTTGATTTGATCATAAATTTGATAAGCAAAACTTTCGATGGTACTAGATGGCTTGCACTATTTGTGATAAACTTCCGCATCCACGTATATTAAAGTATTCACTTATTTTTTGTGAAAAGAAAAGAAAAGAATTACATCTATCGTACTGCTACTCACAAGACAATCGTCCAAATGCTATTAGAAAGCATTCTTTTTATTAATTACATTAAAAGACTACACTCAAGACAGAAGCAACCCACTTTTACGAAGAAAAGCGTTTCATGCCATTATGGCTGAAAGCTCTATTGGAAGAATGTTTTCAGACAATGATGAACATTAACTTTTACCTATAGCAACTGAATTTACAGACACAAGCAAGCTATGTAACTGAATGGAATTTTGAAACTAATTTCGGACTTATAGATTGTTAAAGTATACATGAAAATATTTATAATGATTTAAAATCTTCATGAAAAACAGTTACGATTCATAGCTTAATCAATGTCACACTCTAGATTGTCCTGTTTCTCTCAAAGTGATCTTCAACCAACGTCATTTTATTGTTTGATTCAAAATCAACTTGAAATAATGAACCAATCATCATCTCGATTAACACTGAGACGTCTGCGACGTTGATGACTCAAATGTTAGCGTGAGTCTAACTCCAATTATTATGCTGTAGGGAACTATTTAGTGAAGAATCTCTCTCTCTCTCTCTCTCTCTCATGTCATTGTATACACAAAGCCATAAGATCAGTTTAATATAATTAGCAGACTAACAATGTGCCACCACTTGCTATACTTTACATAGATCACATCAGAACTGTTGTAGATAATTATGATTTGATGTTTTTCTCGGTGTTTAACTGCTTACTTCTACCTACACTGTAGCTCGCAGCGAGGACTTCAAATCCAGCCACAATATAACCTATTTTTATTTAGAAATCGTTAATTAGTTGAGCAGAGTTCAGTCATGAATTATGCGATGAAGTATAAAAATGAAATTTATGTTTCTTATTCATATTATGGTCTATCTGTTGGCATCATGAGAGGTAAATTAGTTGTTGATCCTTCTGGTATATCGATCACTTCGACTAGAAGTTCAAATTCTTCTACTTGTGTCCATTTTGCTGTTCGAACAGCGACACTAACAGTATGTATACCAACAGGTCAATAGACAATCTCTATTTTTGAGCAATGCATTTGGGGATATCCATATGGGTCTACTGCTGAAATGCTTCCACGTCAATCCATCCCAGATTGTCCTTCACCAACTAACGAGCCAAGACTAAACCTTTGGTCAATATTTGGAAGGAATTTTTTCGACATGAATAAATATTCGCCGATCATCACACGCTAAATGTTTAAATTTCTTCCTTCGGCAGTTTTTAATTAACCTTGATATTAAATCTTATAAAGACGATGGTGATCATGAAAGAAACTAAGTGACAACCCAGGATTTTTCACAAAAGTTGTTGAGACTGTATTCAGCACAAACTTCGGCGCCGATTGGTAAGCAAAATAGAATTGTGTGCAGCATTTAAATTATAATATCGACCACTGAGGCGGTCAAGATAAATAATGTCTGAAAGTTCGTGGTCCGTTACATTTTTCATAGTATTAGTCAAAAAATGTTGATGAATGAAAATGACAAGCAGAAGAAATTTCGATCTACTGAAGGACATCATTGAAATCATAGTCCGAAGCACTGCATTTAAATGAGACAAACAAACACACAAGTTTATATAAAAGCTGAATCATCTGAAGTCTGATTCTTGCAACAAAATATTTCTAAGCATTCCTGAGAAAATGTAAAATACCTCTTAATCTTACTGTGGCTAACTAATACGCATGAAATCAATAATATGCAACTTATTTTTAGATTTACTGCATCATTTTTCGGCGACTTCTTATGCACTTGTCTGTTTTATATTCCAAGGATGGATAAACTCGGTAGAAGGAAGCACACTTTAAGAAAATATGCAAATATGACCCTCAATTTCACCTATACCTTCATCGAGATTACCCTATGATAAATACTAAGTAGTATCCTGTTTAGGATTGAATTTTTATTCAGGATTTCTTGCAAAATCGAATTATTTTTTTCTGTTTCATATATAGTTTCTACGCAGTATTTTCATGCAAAAAGCCAATAATATTTTTTTAATTCAGCTGATTGTAGAAAGTACCATTCCCAACAATAGTAGGTCTTGATAAAAACTTCAAAACTCATATTTTTGTTATAATTAAGCTCACTAATTAGATGGTAGATAACTGCTTGAAGATTGCCAGCAGCACAATGGCATGCGTTTACTACATCTAAAATGAATCTATAGCTAATTTCTCAAAAATTTATATCTAAAATGTAAAAATATGTTCTTCATTCATATTTTGATATAATAATTGCATATTGTTTGAATCTCCAACGGTCATTCATTGTTTTGTTTTCTTATTACTAGCAAATTACGTCAGAGAGACGAGAAAGTTCTAAAAAATTATCGACCCGAAATTAACTTCTATGATGCTGAATTGAAAAGTACAGATGGCATTGGTTTCTTGTTCTCCAATTCTGCGAGTATCTTTCATTGGCAATCAAACTATGAGAAACGAAGGCGATATACGTGCAGTACTTGATTATTTTTTCTTCATTTCACATCATCGACGATCACTGAAAAGAAACGAACAAATACAAGCCTCAAGTGACCATGTTTTTACGTGCACCTTGCAAAATCAATTTAACATTAGATATATTTGATAAGATGGAACGTACTGATGGTTATCATAATATTGATTCATTCGTGGTACAATTTGGTGAACCAGCAGATGAATTACGCGTCCATATCAAACCTGCTTCAGATAAGAATTCTATTAAAGTGACTTGTAATGATTCACGTCTACCTGTTGATACTCGAAATTTAGTATATCGAGCAGCTGATGCATATCTGATGCATATTGATAGTCCCTTTAATATAGAAATTGATCTTTACAAGCGTATACCAACTGAGGCAGGATTAGGTGGTGGTAGTAGTGATGCAGCTGCCGTTTTACGAGCCTTAAATAATTATTTTAATCAAAAAGTTGAACCATTAGAATTAACAGCTATGGCTGCACGTATCGGTTCCGATGTACCGTTGTTTTTGGCAGAAAAACCAGTGCGTGTACGCGGTCGTGGTGAAATTATTGAATCACTAGATTTTGAGCTACCTGTGCTTTGGGGTATCCTTGTACACCCTGGAATAGGTGTATCAACGCCACATGCATATGCTGTTCTCGATGCAGTGCCAAATCGACAACCTGGAACTAGTACTGAAAGACTTCTGGCTCGATTATGTGACAAGAAAGAAATACCAATTAGCATCAGTGAACTTTTAGCAACAGGTTTATCTAATGATTTTGAACCTGTTGTACTCACTGCTTATCCTGATATTGCCAAAGCACATGAAATTATTGTTTCTGCAGGCGCTCTACGTACTCTTTTGTGTGGAAGTGGTTCGGCTATATTTGGTCTCGCTCGAGACCTTCAACATGCTAATGAACTAGTTGACATATTAACTATTCATTTCTCTTCTATAATGATCGTTTCAAGTTCATGTCCTGATGCATTTAACATTAATCAAATTTAAGAGGATAAATATATTATTTTGTTCTAGATTGATCTTTTTAGAAAAACTTACATATTACCTATTGCAAGTGTCTACTACTTTTGAAACCCTTCCATCATACTCTTACCAGTATTTAAAAAAATAAAAGGTATGCAAATAAACATACGAGTATATTATTTGCTTAATATAAACAATATTGACAGAATAACAAGCGACATATCGTTATGCGATATGAAAAACTATTCTTGATAATATTATTTTGCTAACGTGTATGATAAAATATTATCCAATTATTTTACTTCATTAATAGCACGTTTGCATTTTTTAAGAGTAGCTGTCTAATTCGAGTTCAAATATAAATGGAGAAAAGAAAAAGTTAAACTAAAACTAAATCTATTCCTAGATTTAGTTTTAGTTTAATTTTCCGATATATGCGACATATGAGTACATATATACCCTTCACCCACACCCACATTTGAAGTATCCCGGATACATCTGCACCCATTTCTGGTACCCATTCACTCACACCCACGTGTGAGCACTTCTCCATGATATCCATCATCCATACCCATTCACCCACACCCCACATCCACACTTGCTTTCTTTGAATACTTTATTAATTTATATTGCATTTTCGTAAAGCTTCATTTGATTACTCAAAATTGTCCCTAAACTGATAATACCATATTAAAACAGAACAGTTCTTTGAAGAAAAAAAATGCGCATCATAGAATAATTACGTTCCCAGTAAAAATCTACCTAGTTTTTATTGGTAATGATAGAGAAAAATAATAATACATTGTATTGTTTTAGTTCTAATATGACTTCGAAACAAACACGAATAGGCATGGGTTTTGATGCTCATCGTTATCTTCCTACACAAAATGGTTCTACGAACAAAGTTATGCTGTGTGGAGTTGAAGTTCCCTCGATGTATGATATAGAAGCTAATTCCGATGGAGACGTAGGGCTTCATGCCCTTGTAGATGCCTTACTTGGTTCAGTGGCTGCTGGTGACATTGGTATGCATTTCGCTCCTGACGATATCCAATGGAAAGGAGCCAGATCAAGCATGTTTCTTAAACATGCTTTGGCGATCGTGCATGAGAAGGGCGGTGAATTGATTAATATTGATATTACGATTATTGCTGAAAAGCCTTATATTTCTCCTTATCGACAGCGTATGCGTGAAAAACTCAGCGAGCTACTAGCTATTGACATCGAACGCGTTAGTGTAAAAGCATCAACAACAGAGAAAATGGGTTTTATTGGACGGGAGGAAGGTATTGCTGCTCAGGCTTGTGTCAGTGTTCTTGTTTGATTACATATCGTATAATAAAGTAGGACAACATTTAACCAAACAATAAGATGCATATTTTCTAACGAGATCAAACATAGTTAAATAATGTAATTCGTACTGAAAATAAGTCAGAGCGTGTATGAAAAAAAGTGTCATCTTATTTAAGCTAAATATAATTATTTGTTGTTCAAAAAAGGATATTTTTTCTATCAGCAAATGCTTTCTTTGATAGTTTGTGCTGAAGCATGGATCAGTCTTTTCTAAAAAGAACTCTTGAACAACCTACAATACTGCTATATGCATATTATCTGCCAGATAATCTCTTTGTTTTTTTCTTCATATATAATTTCATTTTAATCTTTCAATTACATGACATAACTATATAAACGAAATATACGTAAGAAAATTGAGAGGATATCATCTTTTAGACATGTACTCTTAATGTTGTTTACTAGTAAGTCGTTTTTACGTTTCCACCAAGTGAATCTCACTTTTGGAAAATTCAAGTTTATGTCGTTGTCAAAGCTAGTCATTCTTAAATCGCATAATAAATTTCATTGTTATATTTGAAATAAGAAAAGCGATTACATAGCCACATTTGTTTTGGATAGTAGACTTCCAACTAGCTCACTTGATAGAATGAGTTCGTTATGATTAGATGGTAGTTTGAGTTCTTGAATATTAAGCGCTTTTCTAGCGCATTCCAGTGCTGCATCGTAATCTTTGCACTCTTCAAAAAGTAAGCCCATCTGAAAGTATGTACGGGCAATATATGGATGATTAGGAGCAAGTAGAGCTTGCCGCATTCTCAGAGCGTCTTTAAAAGCAGTGAGTGCCTCATCGCTATTACCCATTGCACGATGCACCAAACCTAAATTGTGATAAGCCTGAGCATGACCAGGATGATCAGCTGGCATTTTCTGTTTATAAATGGCTAACGTTGCATTGAGTAATTTCAATGCTCGTTCATATTGTGTTTCAAGGTAATAAGCATAACTAAGTCGATTAAAATGGAACATTGTTTCAGTATTATAGGGTCGTGACACAAGATTATAACAAACACTAGCTTCCTCCAATATGCGTACTGCTCGCTTTGAATCGTTTAATTCCAAATAAACAGTACCAAGACCGGCTAATGTCATGCCGTATTCATAACTATTGTGAGGTAAAGCACGACGTTGTAGTAACTTAGCGCATCGAAAATAATGAATAGCTTGATTATGTTTACCAAGAAAACGATACATACGAGCAAGTTGGTAGTGTAGATTCGGTCGATCTTCATGTTCAATAGGTAGAACTCGTATTAGACGCTGAAAATATTTTATTGCTAGTGAATATTCACTCAAATGAGCTAGCATCCGGCCAAATAAAATTGCAGCATTTGTTTCAGAGAGGCGCTCACGCATATACGAATCATATTCACGATTTAATTGTGCGACTTGATTTGACGCTGTCATTTGAATATTCCATATAAAATTTTCGCCATCATAAAATATATTGGTAACGACAAATGTCGTGCCTAGATCAAATAGGAATTCGTTTTCGTCTGGTATGTGACTTACATTGCTTATATCGGCAACGACAATATCGGGTGATAGATTAATGTCAATGCCGATTTTAAATAGCGAGAATTGTTCAGGATCATTGCGGTTCCTACTGATCTGCATATTAACTCCTGGATCAGAACATATAAACGACAAAGCAACTTCAAGACAACGGGATGAAGAAAGAAAGCCATTGGTAGAGACCAATGAACCTATACGTAGCTGCTCAACTTCGTCTCGACGAAGTATTGTACCACGATATACAGAAATAGGAGTTGCATGTGTGTATCGTGCTTCTGCGAGGCTAGCGCATAGATCGAAGATGAAATATCTAAATAAGTATAGGGCATGAACATTTTCCGAGCGCAAATTTTTGTTGACTAGTGTTGAAAGAAAGCATGGCTCAGTGTACCAACGTATAGCATTGGATGCTTGATATGTTTTTTCGAATTCATCAATCTTCTTGTTTTGAGAAGGATTACCCTTGTAAAATTTTCGGCATTCTTTTAACATTTGTCGTTTAGCTTCTTGTGAATTATGAGGCATAGCCACGAGAAGCACTAAAAATATGATTATTGCCACAGTATCAAATATCAACAATATTGGAAACGTGAAGAGAGAGAGAGAGAGAGAGGTCGAAGATGCCAAACAACACATAAATCTACTATTCAATTCAAGCAGACATATGTATCTCTGCTCTCTTACGTCTCCCAATAGTGCAATTCAAGCGATCTGACATCACCTATTTTTGCATCTTTTAGGCTGCTTTGGTTCTATTTTCTTTATTTTTATGCTAGCATTTACCAACGAGATTCATCATCTATGTTCGAACATCTTTAAACTTTTGGAAGCGAATTGGTTTTGCACTTTCCTCTTAGAAGTCACGAGTCACATATTCAATCTTTAAAACGAAGTCTCCTGAAATTATGTCATATCAAAAATAACAAATAGTGATAAATACACGTAGACAGGTCTCAACAGTATCGGTCAGAGAGAAAGACAAATACATAGTAGCATGATGGCAACAGGTGAACAGATATAAACTAGAAAAAAAGCTTCCATCTGGAGAAGCTAGATAATGCTAAGTTTGAAGATGCTGCATCTCCTTTAGAGCAGTGTTGAACGACGCGAGAGAGATCACGACAATGTTTTTGTATAGAATAGTGTTTTCAAATGTTTCTTGAGATTTTAAGCATTTCCTTGCAATATTCCAACTTACCCGTCTGTCTCAATAGATGACAAATCTAATTAATCTATACATGAATAACAAACTAAAACTATGACAATAAATACTGACCTCTAAATGTATGAGTCCAAACAAACGAGCCTAATTCTCGTCGTAAGTCTCGGAGAGCCGTTTCTGGTGAACTACAGACGCTGAATAGGCCAACATCTTTTAGATTACTTTTCGCTGCAATAATATGTTGATGCAAATCTGTGGAAAGTGGTTTCCATTCATAGAAGCTTTTAATTAACTTGACTCTAGTTTCACTCGAGCATCCACTACCATTGTTTTTATTCATTTTATGTTGATCACTATTTTCATTGCCAGAAGGTAAGAGAATAAAAATTGCTTGAAGTTGTTCATACTGATCTAGTTGTGAGACCATTTTTTGCACATTGCTCTTGTCAAAAGCCAGAAATAGAAGAATAATATGTTCTCGTGAAGATGCTTTTTTGAAATATTTTATACATGGTGATAAGTCCGTATAACGGGAAACAAGACATTCATCCAAAAAACTGAGATATAGATCCTTGTCTTCTGGATTTAAAAGTGTGGAAGTATTTTCAATCATAATAAGCGACACATCATGTCCTATGACTAGTGTTCGCCGTGATTTAGGATTTACAATTCTTTTTGAATGATTAATACAATCCATGAATTGTGGGCGCTTTGAACTTGGTGAAGTTTCGTCAAATGACTATTTTTTTAATAGGCACGGTACTTGCTGCTAAATTCGGAGAACACTATATATATTGCATTTCGAGTTCGAAAAAAAAACAAGCTGTGCTTATACGGATTTAGGCAGCTGACTTTTATCAAGCATCATTAGAAATCGGTGAAAATTTTCTATTTGCTCTTCTATTAGTTGCAAAATAATGCATATGCAACTGCCTACTAGTAACACTGTTAGGCTTCCGTAGTCAATAATATGCAAGATCGAAAGTATGTGTTTAAGAATTCTATAAACAGAGCTGAATTCGAATATTTTTGTGTTTCTGTGAAGCTTTGCAATTGATCCATAATCAAAAACGATATTAGGGTGCAGTCAGATAGAGGGCTCGATATTGGTTTTAGTCTGATCAAACTTAGTTTAATGTGTGGGTACGATGTGTGTATAGCTCTGTAGTAGAAGTTTATGTTGAGGATCTAAATGTTGAACGCTGGTGACTATTATGAAATCTGGTTTAGTGTAGGGCCTCCATCTATTACATTCTATTGCACTTAGTGTCAACCGATTTTTTTCAAGTGATTGAAGGTTTTATGCAAACTTTTATTATTCTAAGCCTTACAACTGTGTTTTCTCTCGAATTTTGTTGTTTATAGATTGTATGTCTTCATATACTTCCTTGTAAACTTCTTCTCAAGATAGATCGTCTAGTACTGCCCATGTAAAAAACTTGATTTCAAGAACCGATTACAAATCAATTATAATCATACGACTTTAATCAATAATTTTAGCTGTAATAATCATAGTAAAATCAGTATTTAATAGATTATTCCCATTTTTATGATTGTAACAGATTAAGAATATTTAAAAAAAATTGATTATAATCATAAAAATGGAAATAATCTATTAAATACTGATTTTGCTATGATTGTTACAGCTAAAATTATTGATTAAAATCGTATGATTATAATCGATTTCTAATCGATGTTGACCTCTCTAAAGATAATTTTTGTCCGATATTTTTTTTACATGGGTGATAAATCGCTCTTTGCAATGACTCTGATAATTATGCAAAAATGAATGCAATACTTTTTTCATCTGCAGCTAATTGAAACGTTTACTCCTACAATTTGCTCAGTTTCTTCTGTACGCAGGTCAATGATTCTGGAGGACGGATACTGTAGGAATCGACAGGAAAGATGCAGAAAAATCACAGTATCTGACCTGAAAGCCCGGGAAAGCGCTGGAAAGTGGAAGCAGTATTCCGGTCGGGAGTTGTCGACTTTTTCTGGTGTATTCCAGTCAACTTCCAGCTGGAAATCACAGGAAACTGGCCGAAATCCGCAGGAAAATAATCCGTCTATTTCCGACAGGAATACTGTTTTCGCTTTCCAGCGCTTTCCCTTGTTTTCCGACCGTTTCCCGCCGTACCTCCATGACCTTGGTAATCATGCTATCAAGAGAAAGTTTCTATCATGTGTTGGTGTTTAGAATAGTGTATATTCAAAATATTGAATTTACAACTGTTTTTTATATGAATATAAATGCTCAACTTCTTCTCGACCAAAATATAAGGATGAGAGAAAATTATCAATGGTTTCGGAATGATGCTTTTCTTTGATTAAAGATGACTTATCTGTTAATTTAACATAGTATATATATATGATACTTGTAAAATCAATAGAGAAGTGTTGATATTCTAAAAGATACTTTTTTCGAGCTTTATAAATGTAAATGATCATCAAAAATCGCCTCTAGATTGAGTTAAAACCTTTACTAATTTTATTCCACATTTTCAACGAATTTAGTCGAAGTTTCATTCTGTCTGTAACATGCATATATCTATATAATTGTTTGGAATTTTACTATTTGGTGATACAAGGAAGCGGTAGAGTTAGATCAATCCTAACTTTCTATCGGCTATTGTATTAATTGTAGTTCGAAAGTTGATTAGTATCAAGCTTATGAGCGCAACCTGTTTGAGGCTAAAATATGGAACCCACATATATGCTTTAAACTCACTAACCTGGTGCAAACTAGATTACGCGAAAATCTACCTTGTTTCTAAGATCAGTAATTAGGATGTTACCTCTTCATTTATGTGTATACTAATTGCTAGTGTCTGCAATGGGAACGGTTTACTTATTTTCTATTGCGATGAAAAGAGAGAGATAGGACTCTAATTAGTGATCTCTAATTATTGATGGTAACTTTTAATTATTAATGTGTACAATGGGAAATCTCTAAAAATCTTATATAAAAATTTGCCGTCACCATTCTTTTCGAAAATATAATATGAGCTCAACAAAATTTAAAACTTATCTCTGTCGAAATCAATTGAAAAAAAGCTATTCTAGATGTGTGTACATACTCATGTAGCCGATAATGGATGAATAATGAAAAAATGACCCATTATTTTTCATTATTTCAAAAAAAAAAAAATTAATGCATCATAATTAATTATTTTTTGACTTTTCAATGCACTACAATGCATTATTCCAAATAATGGACAATTTTGAGATAATGAATTTTCATTCAATGCATTTCAAGGTATTATTTAGAGTAATGTTTTTAAATTAGAAAATTCACTATTTTCGTACAAGAAATATTGAAAAAGTGATTCGACAGGTAGATGTTTGATTTGCCACAGCTTTCTGTGTACCAAGCGCTTTTCAATAAGAGTCGCGCAAGTTAAAGATCTAATAAAAAAATGTAACCTGAGTTACATAGCTACCCTAGTCCACTCCCCCTATAAGAATCCCCAGGGAGTCCCGTGACAAATCCCTGGGGACTCACTACAGGGAGTCCCTAGGGATTTCGTTCTTTTGCGGGGACTCTCCGGGGAGTTATCTGGTCAAAATCGATGAAATATCTATTTACTAATAAAATCTTCTTAATTTTTTAAAAATTAAAAAAATTAAAAAGTTTTTTTTTATTTTAAAAAATTTTATCAATTCCCCCCAGAGTAATCCCCGGGAGTCCGCCAAATAAAAAGTCCCCGGGGATTCACGACAGGGACTCCCCGGGGAGTCGTTGGGGGGATAGTCGATTAGTGTAAGAGTATTTGCCGAATCTATTTCCCCTGATAATGGAAACCTACACTATTGAACACTTGACTCAAAATCTGATGATTTATATCAGATTATCCTTTCAGTTTCCAAAATATTTTTCCAGGCAAGTCGAAGAGTTTCCGAGTTTACTCAATCGCTAAAATGTGTACTAACAACCCGAAATCCGACCTAGAGTTTCTATTTGATGCAACGAAAGACTACTAGAGTTTTAAATGCTTTTAGAATATTTTTTAGAATGAAAGAGATCACCATCCTTAAACATCTCAAAAGAAGTTTTCACTTTTCGTCATTGCTCAATTTAGGATGTATCTAGTGAACTAAAACTGCTCACAGTATCAGCTATAACAGATTAGATCATGAATCATTTTGTTTTCCAAATCTGGAGCCATTTTAATACTGTTGAAGTAGTCTTATGTCATATATACGCTCTTAAACTGTTTTCGCTTTCAACTACAATTCGACATGATCCAAGTGGTAAGGTCGAATTTAATAATAATAATAAACTTATTTATTGATTATTTTTCTTTTGTTTTAGATTCTTATCGATATGATCAAGATGATACGTTATGGAATATATATAAGAGGGTTGATGAAAATTAAGGGTTAAGTTAAGTTAGAGAGATAGGTTAAGGTTAAGGGATAGATGTAGATAAGTTAATAGATTAAGGTTACGAGGTTAAGTTAAGAGGATAGATGTGCAGAACCACAGAGAAACAATTATGGTAAGTGGGGTATCGATGTAGTAGATCTTATGTAGAAAGTTCCGAATAAGACGTTTCAATGCGTTATAATCCATTAAATAGGTTGCATTATCATGTAATTGCATACATTGCATTTCTATAGTAAAAGAATGCATTGCAATGACCATCATCTCCTAAAATCGGCTACATTGGTAGTATAGTCTTTTTGTTTTAGAAAACTAATACTTCCAATTCATTTTTTTTTACAAAGAAAAGAATAAAAGCTTTTCATTTCTGTTTTCATGAACCCTAACAATTTTCCTATCAGGAGTCATAATTGAACTAATGTTCTTTTCGTTTAATGAGTAATTTGGTACTTAGATTATCTTTAAATAGTTACGTGCTTACCAGCATTCAAGTATTCAAAACAATCAATATTTCATTATAATTATTTGAACTTATCAAATTTTAAAAATTTTGTTGTAAAATCAATATTGACAAGGACTATAAGTCGTAATGAGCCGTATTTATTTCAAGTAAATACAATGATTGAAATATTTTTCAGATTATTTATTGAGCATTAATAAACAAAGCAAATGACTGACATATAGACAAAATACTAAAAAATAAAAACGAAATCTCCTATTAATATATTTCATTTCAAAATCAAATCGATCGCGATTGTTGTTGTTGATATAAAAACCGATGTATATCTTGAAATGTTGGTCTTTCATGTTGATTCCTTCTTAAACAGGCAAACATAAGATCTAAAATTTCTTTCAATTGCATTCTATCAATAAATGAGATATCTAAATCTGGTATTAAAGGTGGTGATAAAATGATTTCTTGATCGGATAAATGTGCAAATGGAAGTATACGGCATGTTGTCATTATTTCATATAATGTTATACCAAAACTGTAAACATCAGATTTTACTGAATAACTATTTCCACCAGTCTATTATAAAATAACATAGATGTTGTCAAAAACAAAAAGAAAATATAAATAAAAACTAACCAATAACATCTCTGGTGACATCCATCGAACAGGTAAATGTGCTTCAGTTGAATAATAATTTGAATAGATAGGTGAGGCCATAGCAATATCAGTTAATTTAATAATATAATCATTAAATACTAGACAATTTCTCGTTGATACATCACGATGTATTAATTGTCGAGATTCAAGATAACTTAATGCACCAGATATTTGACATGTAACAAATAACATTGCTTGA